CGACCTTCAAGTCATGTATTATATATAGCATTGAAGTAATCCATCAAAAGTTATTTTCGAGAGAAAGAAAAACTCAATTTCTCATTATTTTTCGGTGAATATATTATTTTAAGGATTAATTCGACATAATTCTCACTCCATTCATGTAATGCTTATTTATAAGGGATTATAAGAGTTATGCAAATACCTGGTGGCCTGAACTGTTGGCTGCCATCCATCATATAACCCATACTTCCATCGGGACTGTACGCTCCGCCGGCACTACCGATCGAACCGCCCAGATCTGCACATCAATGACACCATCATATTATATAAAAAATCATTTAATGAGAAAAACCATTTCCGTATCACAGCTGAGCATCACTCGCGAGAGAGAGAGAGAGAAAGAGAGAGAGAGAGAGAGACTCATTTCAATGGCCATCCGTCTAATGCAAGTATTGGTGAATTGTATGGAATTTAATGCACAAAATGTATGGCAAAGTAATGCATCAAATGCTCTCAATTTGGGCAAAAACTGTGCATTTCTTGTCTGAGAGGCACAACTGGATGGCAATCAATCACATGTGCTGTCAATTTGCGATACGCACGGCCAGCAAAACTCAATTCTTTGGCACTGGAATCGCATCGAGTGATTGCCAAACACCCAAATGGGCTTCTCTTCACTCTCTCGCTCTTTCACTACAAGTCTCTCCTTTTGTGACAAAGTTTTGGACTCAGTTTTTGAGTCCACAACTTGGAAATGGAGTCAAATATTCATTGATGCCAAATGCAAAGTGGTGGCCATACCTGCTCTGTTTGACTGGTCAATCATTGGCTGAACAATACGTCTTCTGGCGTTTATAAACCTGTGGATAGCAAACAGATAAAAGATGTATATTAGTAAAAATGTCACATTTCATAGAGTATTGTTTTCATCAGAAAAACACATTTTACACAAATATTCTCAATATATTTTCCGTAAGTATTGGGTTTGAAAGTAAGGCTATAGTTTGATTTCCATTGTGAATGGGCTTAAGGCAAAACTGTATCACATTTTTTGATTTGCAATAACGTATCTCATATCTCGCAAAACAAGTGATATATCAAAATATAACACAATAAGGCATAAAAAGATATTTTTTTGTTGGATATAATGCGATATTGTATAATGCATTTGTAAGAATCACTTTTGAAAATTACAATCCCTGTCCCTCTGGCCAACTGAGACTCGTATATGACATACGCTTTTAAGGGTATGAAACACATTATAATTTATAGCACCTTATGAGTCAATATTACGCTAACAAATGGATTCAATTTCTCTTTTAGATTTACAATAATATTATTTTCCATTGAAAGCCATTGTCGTCGCAAATGTCATTAACTCCTACCAAGCGTTACATCAAAATTATATTTCGCTCTCAACTCCAAAACTCCCACATCTCTCACATCACTCTCATTACTCTTATCCACTCTCTCTCTCTCTCTCTCTCTCTCTCTCTCTCTCTCTGTTTACGAAATTTAAAGCTAAATATAACTCTCATTGCATTACAGTATACGAGTCTATCTCATGTGTCTTCCCTTTTAGCACTTTTATGTTCACATCCGTTGAGATTTGATTTGATGTAACACTGAGTCTCTGACTGAGGAATCGTATTAACATTGAAACGTTTGCCCCACTCTTTCGCTGCATTAGACGTGTAGTTATCTATTGGTTAGTGTGAGACCCAGAGAGGGGTTTGTCATCACAGTCTCAATCAGTGCTTCATTATATACTTGTAATCAAATGTGAATTATCATAACGAGTGACAAAACTGACAGTTGCAGTAATAACTGACTTTGAATTCAGTGACAAACGCTGTAATATATTATGTAACATAAGAGCGTTTGTTACTTCTGTCTCGCATTAGCATCCCTTTAGACATTGAACTCAATTTTGGGTAGACTTTAAAATGTGTGACATTCCTGCAAATGAATAAAACAGGTCCCTATTAAACACAATAAGTCGAGTACTACTACCCCTCCCACAGTAGTCATCGGTATTCTTAGTCAGACATATGATACGATTTTTATGAAGAGATAGCGTATGGATCGGTAGAGTATTGGGAGTGTTGTATCGGAATAATACAGTAGACTATTGAGACCATTGTAGTGCACATTAATATATTGTTCGTAATTCACCGGAAAAGGGACAACCGTTTGAGCCAATGAATTATGCAATGGGATTATCTCTCAGCGTCCACAATGGCAAAAGCTGCCGGTGCAACAAAAACCGATAACTATAATTACACAAAAGCTTCACAAATATCCCATTGAATGCGGATAAATCCCTACAGAAATGGTAGTCGACTTCTACTGCTCCTCCGACTCCCTCTTAAACCTCATAAATATAAGACTATTCTCTAGAATAACAACAAAAAAACTAAAAATAATTTTTATTCAGGTTTTTGATGGAGAATCAGGAAAAAAGTCACATTAAATCCCATAATAGAGATTAAGTGTCCGTTTCTTAACAAAAATTATTTCCTCAATAAATAATTAGATTTGCGTTTAAAATATACAGCATTTCCAGTGTCTGCTAAATACAAATAAAATCCAAAATCAACAGTAAATGAGACAAACACTCATTCTTATCATAAAAATATGATTAAGTTTTTAATTGTAAAATGAAAATCTCATGTTTTTCATTACATTTAATCGGAATTAAACTTTTGTTTTAATAGAGGAAAAGAGCTGAACTGTGGATGAAATAAAGAAATGAGAAAATTATATAATGTTTGTGAGCAAAGAAAATAACCACAAAACTACAGACACCCGACACACCTGAATGCAATGGTACATAATTATCACGACTATACTCTGTGAACGTGGTCTCTCTCTCTCTCTCTCTCTCTCTCTCTCTCTCTCTCTGTATGTATGAAAAAGTTTGAAACCCAACGAAAGAGCCGATGGTTTCCAACAGATTATCGATTTTGCAATTTGTGTGTTTCGGGTGCTCTCTATTGCACTCTATTTCATGTCAACCAAAAAAGAGCACAAAAAACGAAAAGCAAATGAGAAATAGAGGCGATTGTCGTGTCTCTAACTGCGATTGATGAGAGGGCTCATCGCACCACATATTCACCTACACTTATAATAGTGCATTAGGGGGACAGGCATTCCAGTGAACACCACATATGCGATGGTCTGATGTGGGGATTTGGATCTATTCATTACATTTGGAGAGAACATCATTAAATCATAGGTCATTTGCTGTACCACTATATCTATGCTCTCTTTCATCTCATGTCCAAATGTACGGCACGTTATCCCATAGCGAGAGCACTGGTATGGTCTTCGGTCATGACCGGCATATTTATTGCTCATCACAACCAATACTGGTATCTCTGACAGAGAGATAGCCCCACAAAATAGCTCTTTAATGACATTCTGTGTTCAGTGCAATTAATTACAAATAACAGACATTCAGTGAATAAGTGAATGATATTTATTCATCAAAAACAATGTTTGATTCAAAGAGATGGCAGAAAAAAGTTAAGTAACTTTAGAAGTGGTAAATGATGGTAAAGATCGGTATCTCATATGGAAGTGAGTATCGGTGCTGTTGGGGCTGATAAGCAGTGGCACTACGAATGGCACACAACCAGCACTTCAACAGATGTTGGGTAATGACGATCATTGAGTGTGTGTTACTCTATATGTGAGGGTACAGTACAGCTGCTTATTATTTAACTTTCAGACCGTACAAAATGACAGTCCATTTCTTCAATAGTGTGAGCAATGCTTAACACCAGTGGAGTGAAGATTAAAGTGTTGGTTACTGTTTGGCTAACTATACCTTTCAAATGATAAGGTTTAAAGCCAAAGACATTCACTGATTCTATATATTAGGGATAGTTTAACACATATGTAGTGGTTATACACCTATCACTCTATGCTTTTGTCTTTTTTGGTTGAGTCCAACAATTCCTACTATCAGTTCTTCGCTATTCAATGGTTGGCTATCTTTTTCATAATAAGATTTTTAGTAGTTTTTGTTTATATAAAAAACACATAAAAACATAAAACATTACACAACACATGCAAAGGGAAAGTGGATTTCAGTCCTCGAAGTCCAATACATATCAATATAACTAAAGAACAAAAGCTTTGCCTATGTTTTAGAGATAGAATTTGTGCCAAAAGTGGAGAAATCAATAGCAGAGAGAGAGAGAGAGAGAGAGAGAGAGAGCGAGAGAGAGAGAGAGAGACTGGTGTTGTGTTTGGCTGTAATGGCAATATATGTAGTCATACGCAACAACGAACTGGAATAGGAGTCCATTGGGAAGGCACACAAATTATGAAAAATGGCCATCCAGACATCCAGTTCCACTACAGTTCCACTATTCCTCTGTTCGCCGAGTCATTCACTCGACTCTCTCTTTCTCTAAACGCCAAAAACGAGGCAATACTCGCATCAAATGCATTGTCGATGCATTCAATAGCAATAACTCGTAAATAGTTTTCTATATTCCGTATAAAGCGACGGATAGTCAGAAAGAAAGACAGAAATGGACACAAAGACAAACATAACTTATATGAGAGACATATAAATGAATGCATTGACTGTTCAGAGTGAGACAAAATGTTCAGTCATTTACTAGAAATAACTGATATTTCAATATGAATGCATTGGTATAAAAATGAAATTCATATACGAGTGGCAAAAGCAAAATGCATGAATACATGAAAATGGGATAAATTGCAGTGAATGTGAATGAAAGTCTGGTTGAGATTTATAAAAATGGCTTAAAGTAATCGAATTGACGGAGGGTTGGGTCGGATTCATCACCGACTGACAAAAAATACGTGAACTGCTTGTCTAATGAGTGTTATTATTGAAACGATTTTTATATTTTTCGCCTCAAAATTGAGCCAAACATTCATATATTCATTGATTAAGCCGTGGAGAGCCGGAGTTGAGATGGCAACCAACACACGGCACCGGCATTATAGCCAACAGTGCATCTGCTAATTATTATTAGGTGAGTAGTAATCACAAATAATATCATTCATTCTCTAAATGCTATATTAAAGGGAGGGAGGGAGAGAGAGAGAGAGAGAGAGAGAGAGCATCAGCGAGAATACAACGCCTAATCATTTAAATATAAGAGAAATACTTTCAAATAAATCTGATTCAATACAAACACCAAATAATGTTGGGTTTTGGGCAGTTATGTATCACTGAATTATGGCATAAAAGCAGACATTTAATGGTCTATATTTCCAACTAATAATTGAATGAATTTATCTAAATTATGACAAAAAGCAATTTAGTGTAAAATGAATGCATATTCGCATCTCTCTTAAGGGAAATGCGGGGAAAATCAGTATATAATTGCAATCAGAGAAACAACACAATTATAATCATAAAAACTCAATTAATTTCTATAAGAATTCAATTTTCTTGCGAGAACTTTAAATGAAAGCAAAACAAAAAACAAAACAAAAATAATATTTTAAATTTGCGAAATATAGCAAAGATTGTGTGCAATAATGGGTGTACGATATGTACGGCAATGTATGGTTTGTGTGGCACTTGGATGCGAGCGCAGGGAAGGTGGTAAGTAAGGCGTGGTAAGAGCATAGCTAAATCGATTAATGTCTGGCCACAAGAGGAAATCGTATTCATCGTATGCGGAATGGTATGGACGGGTAGGCAATGGCATGGCTCGTGCAGTGACTAAAAAATGTTTCGTTGCGTGGCATAACTCAATCCAATTATAACGAGACTCAAAACTATGAAAACATTTATATATTGTTCGCCACAAATATATTAAACTCGGGTAAAGAATTGCACACAATTACAGTGACTACCAGTGCTGAC